GGATTCGTCCACGAATTCAGTACGGGGCGCATCGTGTTGCTAGGTGGACGTACGCCGCATTGCGAGAGCTCAGCACTACGAAATAAAATCGTAAAATATTACTGCAAAAATTTAATTTTGTTAATAGTGGAGTAGGTTTTTTCTGATTCTTGTTTAATAGTAGTGTTTTATAGTTATATTAATTGTACAGTTTTATTAATGTTTAAGTTTAGTTTGTAAAACATGGGGAATAAGCAGAAACGATTGAAGAGAGGTCTAAAAAAATATTACAAACAAAAGGGTATACATTTATCAAGGTAAGTTTTAAGTTTTATCTACATATTTCATAATATTAGACAGGTGCTGTTTATAAAATACCTATATTACTGTGATTTCGCCACTCTGTGACGAGACAAAGCGCGGCAAACGCAAGTGGTAAACAATATTAACTTCTCATTTATACAATAAGAGAAAAAAAATTGTTTTCTTATCGGTCACCACGCTCAAAAAGTGTAACTTGATTTAATATCAAAGACTTAACTGCATAAATAAAATAAATAATTAATTATAATTGCATAAGTTGATAAAAAATGCTATGCAATAGCTTTACCGCGGCAGTCCCCGAGTGCCACACGTCTTTTTTAAATTTTTTCGATAACTGACGCACCGCAAACGTCTGTCCCTAGCGCACCGTTGATTTACTTCCCCGTGGGTAGCGAGTGTTTAACATTAGTATAATATCATAAATGTTTCGGAAGGGTATATAATATAAGGTTTTTTGTAAAATTGAAGTGACAAACGAAATTTCAGTCCACCTGTTGGTAAGTGCAGCACATGAATACCTTCAAACTTCGAATTTAGTTCAAACAAAATATACTACAGATATGATGTCGCCCTTGAGGACTAAGATAGAATGCCTTACATCCTGTAATTATACTGGGACTGATGTGGTAGAATTAGGTAGAAGACTCTTACCACCTAACTTCATTTTCGAGTCGCTGATTCTAGGTTTAAATGTCCAAATCCATGTGTTTTTATAATTAATAATCAAATAGCAATCGAATAGAAATATTATCGATAATCGGTAATTGAAGAAACAACACGCAACCGTTCTTTTAAAAATCAGAATGAAAAACAAGACCCTACGGGATATAAAGCAACACCTGTAGAGTCACGTTGCAGCTATATTGTGGTTATAGCACGAATTAGTCGGTTCGACCGAGGTAGGACCATGCTCTCACAGAATACCAGCGTAAAATGCTGCTGTTTTTATATGGTGAGTGTAGGGAACCGGAGACCCTTTTGACTGAAAACCAGGAATTCCATCTCAGTCCTCGGGGTTAACAACGCATTTGCATTTTGATTCTTAATTGAGTATAAATGTCCATGTATATGGACAACAGCAAATAATGTACCATCAGGTGGACTGTGTGCTCGTATGTCAATCTTATTATGTTTAAAAAAATACGTAAAATTTTTATCAGAAGTTTAATAATCGCTGCCCTCTGTGCGGTGATACCCTACGCAAGTGCCCAGTGTGATTTATTATTAATTCGTCACTGGTTTTATCACTATCTGTCGGAAACGGAGATCTTTCGGGTATTTCCCGCAGTCGCCTGTTATAACTCCCACGAGACAGTACATAACGTTGACGAAGACACCCAATAGTTGATCACTATGTGGAAAACATATCGTGTAATAAACTATTTATCAATAATGATTTCTTAAATTTACGCGAACACTACACATTGAATAAAACTAAATTTACGGATTCTATCGCGTTTATTTAACTGATTTTACTTATTTTTAATTCCCGACGTTTCGGATGCTTTACAGCAACCATGGTCACGGGGGGGACTGAGATGTTTGACGTCTCAATGTCATAGTTAGCCCGGCTACCTTCAGTTTTTGAATATTAATTTTTGGTCCGATTTACGCAAAACGAACTTACAGTATCTTGAAGTCTTGCAGTGGTATGCTTGGGTTTGGGTTTAATTTTGTTAATTATAGGATCCCAAGCAGATGGCAGCACCCAACTATCTTCTCTGTTGAAATTAGGATGTTTTTTAATTTCAATAGCCTCGCGTATCATCCTTGTAGGAATTGGTGTTCTTTTGCGAGGATTTGTGGTTTATCAAATCTGATATAATGGTGGGGACGATCTTGAACATGTTCACAGACTGCAGACTTCCCGGAGCGTCGGTGCTTCACGTCAGCTATATGTTTTTTCACGCGGGTTATTTATCAATAATTTATCAATTATTATAACCTTTCAAACTCTACTGTTAAACATTTTCATAAATGCATGCGGCTTGGCAACCGCATTCTTAGTTCGTGAGGGTAATATCGTCATCCTGTTAATATGGTCACTTTCTTATAACTCAAAAACTACAGCCTTATTTGTATAGATGGCTCTGTGATACGATAGCTCTTCATCGCTCATTCAACTTTACCAAAGCCGTTTGACAGTTGACATTATAGTAAATATTTTAATCGATAATTCGAATCGAATTTTATTTAAGTGATGTTTTCGAAGTGTTCCCAATTATTGCCAAAGCTTGTTTTTTTCCTTAATATATTAGTTATGGTATACGACTTTATGTTTTTGTCTCTGTCCTCCTCCTAGTTTTGGTTTTATAGGGCTGAAAAGCTTAATGTGACCATGTTATCCTCACGTACCTTATTGTTTACTGTGTGATACTGCTACCAATTTCCTGTTTCGTTCCCCTCTGTCGCCTCTGACGACACCTAATGGATTACATGGGAAGTGAATTTTTTTTAACTATAGTAGACATAGGTATATATATATATATATATATATATATATATATATATAATTAAGTAGATAAAATATAAAGTAAATATAAATATCGGATACTCTATGACATCATGTGTCCGCAACCTTACACTGTATTATTTTTCCTCTTTCCTTATAAATGTACCTGCGTGTTGAGTAACTTGGTAATATGGTAATGAATTGAGTGAGTCATGGACCAAATAGGGCGCGTGTAAAAATTGCACTCACAGTACCAGCGTAAACTAGCAGCCTAGTGCTACCACTTTAGCGACTTTGTCTTTAAATCTAACGAGTGTTTTGTTAATTTAGGGAGTTTAATTCAATATTTAGCGGCAAAATATTCTGGTGACTTTTAGCGACATTTACACAATCTGTACCTAGTTACTTCAATTTTTGTTACAATCTGACTACTTTAGGCGTAAGGAACATTTTATAATTTCTTCAGTAGATACTCTAATACTCTATCCATTAAGGGAATTGTAAAATATGAAGGAATCGAAAAAAAGTTCTCTGGATGTTGCTTTTATAATGATAAGCACATAAAAAATATAACAACGACATTCCATTATCCATTACAAATAAATTAGGTACTACACTTATAAATAAGGAACTTTTTGATGGCAGTCTAGAGACTTACACTAATTCAATGTGACAACATTGTAGCAGCCTGTTACGTTCGTATGATCTCAAAATCCTATGTCAATACAATATGAAATAACCACTAACAGTTTCCATTTCTTTTCTATGGGTGAGGGTCTCATTAGGGCATAGTTCCGGTATCTAGTTTCGATTAAAGCACAGAATATATAATAGTAGGTACTAGTTTAGCCACTGCGTTATCCGCTCTAGCTTATCGAAGGTAATTCACTGTTATTATACGTCACGATTCCGCCCAAAATCACCTTCATTTTTTGTAAGCAAGATAACCTTCAATGGGTGTTCCTCTATGCACATCAGTTAATTCATGAAGCACCCAGCCAGTTTTTATTTTATTAATTTGATGGTCAAATCAAGAGGCGAATTCCTTGGTTTGATAAGAACGGTTTGCGCCATTAATTTTAATTCATCTTTATTTTGCTTAGTGACTGGTCTTTCCTGTGGTTCATTCTTAACGTTTAAGTATCCAATACGAAAGCAAATGAACTTAAAACGCACAGTGTAGTCATATACTCTCAAAATTGAGCATTGATATTGGGAGCTCTCGAGAAACACGTCCTAACTCAGATTCAAACATTGATTTCATTAGTGAGGTCTCCATTCACCATGTTTAATTCAAATACTAAACCTAAATATAATTGAAAGTTTTTTCTCTTTCATTGTAATGCCCATGTACGGTTATACTTTTGCAAATGTCAAGTGTTTTGAAATAATTTTTTGAACTAATTTGTTTGAATTTTTTTTTCACAATATGTTGATGCATTCATTACATATCGAATGTTATGATTGACGGTAGCTTGAGAAAGCAGACAGTCAAAAGCGGTATCTCTAGGCATCTAAGCAGACACAATCACTTGAGGTTCACAACACCTTCGTCATCTTGTTCGACATCGCCTCTTAAGACATCCACGGAATGATATATATGATTAGTATATAGTTTATTCTCTTACGCGGCCACTACACGATAAATATTGTCTAAGTATCTACCTAAGTATCCTATATAAAATAAAATGATATGGTTAGAAATAAAGCGCATTATACCGACAAAGAGTTGTGTTTATTGAGTATTTTATCAAATTATATATTTACATGAAATAAAAATGAGCTAATTACACTTACTATTAAAAAAAATCGTGTAAAATATTCGTTGCTGTAATAAATTACTAACAAATCAAATGAATCAATTATTGGCACATAATTTTACAAACGAAATTAAAACATAAAATCTTCTAATTATTTATTTAACGTCGGTTTTATTATTTAATAAAATGTACAAAATATTTAATATTCAAGTTTTGTATAAACTCAGAACGCAAATATTATTATTTAAATACGTTTTCTAATTATATATTACCAATGAATATAATATATTACATTCAATAGCCTTAAATATTCACATATTTTGCAATATTAAATTATATTAATAAAAATAAATTGACAATTAATTTTCTCTTTGCATCAAAATTACATATTATTTGAGACATGAAACTATAAAAATGCAAGTTTCATCACACACATGCCTGCCTTATCTCACATACATTAATTCAACAATACACTAGTCACATTTTCAAGCGTAAATTTCAATTAAAAACTTGTATCCAGATCCTCGTTCGCTTTTCAATTTTATGTTGACAAAATTGAATCCCAAACCACCTCTGGTTATAGATGGTTCAGCGAGACCATTTTCCAAATCTTTTATCGCAATCCCTTTTATCCTTTGATCACCTACTGGATACTCGAAATACACTTCTTGCTCTCTCTTTATGAACGGAATGCTGGACGATTCTACAATTTGCTCGTGCACCTTTCTAACAATTCCGTTGTGATCATATATTTGTCCAACTATCACACTTTTGCAATTTACAATGGTTAGTATCGCACAAAGTATTATTACAGTCTTGTGATCCATTGCGATGTTTGCCGAAGCGTGTGTTAGTTCCAACACGTACTAAAGACTGATTTGTGTTGTTGAAAAACAATCTCCAGTGAGGCCGAGCCAGGAGGTCAAGTGACTCGATTCATTAGAATGGAAGACATCGTCGATTTGTGAATGTTTTACATGGAATATTTCTTTTATTTTCCTTTTATGCACATAATATTTATCGATTATTTTACAATGAACCATAGGGCTTATTATAGATCAAGCACTGTTTAAAATTATACGTAAATTAGTCGTCTAAAGCCAAATGCAACAGTGGTGAATTGCAGAGTCGGCAATGGATGACGTAGACGGAAGTTTATATTATAATGAAACGCTTCTTAATCTTAAACACTACTTAATTTTAAGATGTCAAGTCTCGTGGCGTCACAGTCACTTTGACTTAAAATGATAGAGACAGGACGATATTTAACGGAATATTAAAATTTAATAGCGTTTGAGTATTTTGGCACAATATATACAGAATGGGTCCCACATATATGCAATAAATGAAACCATATACTTGTTATCGCCTTTGCTGACGATATACAAAAAATGAACGTAATCGGTCCAGTAATTAGGTCAAAAAGTAGAGTTTTAATTTTAAGCAAATTTGAACACTCTATAGAATTGGGTCACTAAGTCAATGATGCAATGAACTTGAATCCTTGAACATTAAAAAGCGACGTTGCCACGCAGTGCAAGCTATTGGTATTGCGACATATCGTTGTCTAAACAGAATGTTCACTTTTACTGAATTTATTTTAATATTTATTTTGTTTGAAAATTTCACTTTTTTTATTTTACAGGTTTTAATTTAATATTTAATTTTTCTACACTTCTACGGACTAGTATTACTTGTGGTTTCATTTATTGCATATATGTGGGATCCCATTCTGTATTTACGATAATTGATTATCCAAGTAAGCGTAAGAGTACTCCACAACCAACAATCATGCATGTGATAAATATATGGATGTGAAAAAAGTGAGAGTGTTTTGTCGGGATCGTACCAAATGAAAGTCCTAAATTGAATCAATCCGGTTCTCTTATTGAAGCTAGTATCAAGATCATTTATACAATCATTTTTATTTTTCTGCTCCCATTCCAGGCGGGTTGTTTTTTTTTTATAAAAGTACGCTCACATTAATCAAAATAAATGAACAATTTTAAAGTGTATTAAATAAATTACTCGACCGGGGAAGGACCACACTATTACAGAATACCAGTTTGATGCTGCTGTGTTTCGTATGGTGAGTGTAGAGATCTGGAGTCCATTTCCACAGAAAACAAGATATTTTATCTCAGTCCTCTCTGGCGATAACCCGTACGCATTATAATTCTTAATTGAGGATAGATGTAGATGTCTATGGGCAACAGCAAACACTTACCATCAGGTCTTCTGTTTGTTACCCTTATCCTAAAAAAAAAGTAGGCTATAACGGTAATATATAATTTTATTTACATAGACACCCATATTCTTCTAAGTTGTGACGCTTTGAGGCGACTTGGCAAATGTAGCTTTTTATTGTTGAGTTATCAAGATACAGTCATATAGCTCGAAAAACCGATTTTCGATTAACAGCCCATACCAGGGTTTTTCCAGAACAGCGGTAAGTTCGTAACCAGTGGTAAATAAAAATTGACTTTCTATAAGTTTTTTTTATACATACATTTATCCCCGATTAAGAATCAAAACGCAGATGCGTTGTCAGCCCTGAGGACTTAAATGGAATGCCTCGTTTCCAGTAAACAAGGGTCTCCGGATCTCTACACTCACCAAACGAAACACAGCAGTATTAAGCTGCTATTTTACGCTGGTATTCTGTGAGAGCGTGGTTCTTCCCCGGTCGAGCCGACCCATTCGTGCTGCAACCATAATATAGCTGCAGCGTGGCTCTACCACGTATAAAGTATTATGTAACATATATAACATATACTCATTAAAATATTCTATTCTATTCCATTTTAACGTTGCATACGACACCCACAGGATGACAAGTCGTAGTGAGTTCTCCTACATGCCTTCACTACTCGGCAAATGTCTATGATTTATGAATACTTACGTGGTAGAATTAAGGTGCAGCTATATAATGGTCGCATCACGAATCGGCGCACGAGCACCACGCCCTCACAGAATACCAGCGTGAAATAGCATCTTAATGCTGTTGTGTTGCGTATGGTGAGTGTAGAGAACCGGAGACCCTTTTTACTGGAAACGAGGCATTCCATCTTAGTCCTCAGGGTTGACAACGATTCTTAATCTAAGGTAAAAATAAAAGTCTATGGGCCACAGCATCCATTTACCATCAGGTGGACTGTGTGCTCGTTTGTCAGCCTCCGTTCTATTTAAAAGAAAAATGATTTGGAAACTAATTCAACATCTATTTGAGTTCATGCATTTCAATAAATAAAATCAATCGAATGCCTCGTTACAACCACAAAGGACACAGCAGTATTATTTTATGCTGCCATTTCACTCTGGTATTCTGTACGAACGTGGTTCTTCTCCGGTCGAGCCGACCTGTTCACGCTGCAGCTATAACATACTGCAGCGTGGTTCATAAAAAGTCCAAAATATTATGCCATATTATTTATTTTCGGCTTATTTTGAGAACTGCAACAACTTTTCAATTATATTTAAAATTATCTACTGTGCAGATCAGATTACACAATACAACCTCACGTATTCTTCATAGGCTGTATTACAATCTGTGAAAGTAGCGTAATGAAGCACATTTTAAATTAATCTCGACGGCCGCCATGTAAGCCAGACAGATATAACATATCAGCGTATCGATAGGACAGGGCAGAGGTCACTGTTATCGCTGCGCCATCTATTTAAAGCGTCGACAAGCTATTTTCGACCCTACACGTCATATAATAAAGATTGATTTGTACGTTGCATGTTGACAATTAATTAGGTAATGTAACATGACTGCTGTCCGCAGACTGAATATAGTTTGAGTTGAGCTTTGAGCAAATGTTTGTCAGTTAATATGTTGATTTTGATGATAATAATTCTGGGTTGCAAACGTGGTACGCTTCTCTTTGACGTATGACGTTTGTTTTCATTGTAATTATTTTACCAAGTTTTTATTAAGGTGCGTGTTTGAGGAAAATGCCGCGTAACCGCGTTAGTCGTTATATGTGAGGTTTTTAGGAGCCGTCTACTTGTTATTAGAAAGATATATGAAATAATAAAAAATCTATTAAATTTCTACATAATCTTGATTCCATAATAGCCAATTTCAATTTTTTTTTAAAAAGGAGTAAACACAGAAATGCGAAATAATTATTGATAACATGCATCTCCATATAAAGTAAGCATTATTTTATTCTGCGATTGACACTTATGAACAGGCAATTTATTAATAAAAATTTTGATTTTTTTTATTTAATTTTTTCAAAAGACTAAATTTCGATTTTATAAAGAAAATGAAAGTATTTTAAAATTTGGGCGTATTTTTTACGCGATATATTCTAGCGAGAGCGCGTGGAATGTATAGGACCATAGATTACTGACTATATATAGGACCGAACGACCGACAAGGTCGTTCGCTAGGAGTAGCGTATTAAGGGCATGTACTACCTCAAATGGCTTTGCAAGATCCTCCGTTATGCCGAAAAGATTGCAGCATTAATTTTGAAATAAATATATGGTAAAGTAATGTTAAGTACTACATATGTTAGCCGAAACCACGATTTTGTAAAAATTTTTGATAGTAAAAAAAATCCAAAGTTACCTCCAAACTGAACAATAAACCGCTGATGAAAATACTTTAAATTAGATCATGAAACATTGCATACTAACTGAACTAACTGTAATGCAGCGCGCATGTTTTTTATTAAAATTATCATTATTTTCACTGTAAAAAGTCTTCAAGCTGTTCCTGTCGCCCAATCAGTCTCACTTCAGCTTTCGAACGAGAAAGCTGTGTCACTTACGATCAGAATATACATTGGGTATGCAACAGTACGACGTAAAATTAAAAAGGGGAAATAACCGTAATAAAAATAAGAAGCGACTGGGTTGGCGTAAAGAAACAGGCATAAATATGATAAACCTAATGAAATAAGTGTCTAACGACCTACTTACTTACAGTATAAGTGATTACAAACATGTCGGTACATAGCATACGACGCGCGGGGAAGTGGGTGCGAAATTAGAATTCGAGTTGAGGTAGTATAGGTCCTTAAGTGACTTTCTTGTCAACACTTATGATGAATTATCATAAGTCTTGTCTGTCGTTCCGAGTGGAATCTTGCGAATCAAATTTCGAACACTTCCCACTGAGCCAGAGACTATAAATTTTGAAAATAGCTTAGAATCATAGACAGAGAATAGAATCGGCTGTTTTATCAGTACAAAATAAAAAAAATCCTATTATTTATTCATTTATTTAAAACTAAAATGTAACAGCATATACGTAAGGCGATATTAATGCTATGTGGCTTTAGTTACCAGTCAACCTTGGGTATTAAAGAAAAGTGGCGGCAGGTGCAAAATACCTAAATGGAATGATACGGTGTGATGGATTTTCTTCGACAAGTAGCTTCTTCGTTAGCTCGTAAGTCTGCTGTTGGTTATAAAACTCCTCCGTTGTAGAAAGATTTCCCTTAATCGCGTTAAATAGGGAAAATCCTCCGTTGGCAGGTTAGTGGGCTGGCAACATTGATTTATATATTGGCAATTACAGTTTCAGTCGTGTCGCACCTTTGACACTTATTGCCCGTCGCCGTTTAGAGTAAAGTCCAGCGTCAACAAGATGGTTAAGGGGCAATGCGGGTGGTCTTTTCTCTATACAAACGTTGTAAGACATACCTTTGGTGTTACATAATAACAAAAGGCGTAGGGAAGTGACGACCCTATTGCTCGCTGATTGTAACAGTTATGTGACAAAACTACTCCATCGGCGCAGTCAGTCAGCGTCTTGTTAAGAGATGTAAACGCCGTGCCTCGGCAGAATTGAGGGTACAAAGGCCGTTTG